GCCCTCTTGTTCCAGGAAAAATGCTCTGACACCAGCGCTCACCTTCCTCTCGTGAAAATGCATCTCGTCAGCAGAAGCCGTATCAGCACTGCCAGGTGAGGCTGCCCAGCGGCTGTTTCTACCACTGCACAGTGGGAATAGCCAGCAAAATGAGTTGTTATACTCTTGCACTGAGTTTCTGAGCTCTTTTGCAGGTACATGGGATAGACGCCAGAATCAGTTTTGCTCCTTTATGTTTAGTTATGTAGTAGAGCACAGATGTATCTTTATTTTAATTTGCTTTGCTACTTAATTGCATGCCTTCAACTTAAGAGAAATTTAGCCTTGCTATATACTTAGAACTTTTTCTTAAATTTATTTTCAGACCGTGTTAATTTTAAAGACTGCCTTTGTTTGAGAATCCCATATGTTCGCTGTAAATAGACCTTCGTTTGCAAAGAAAGGGATAAAATAAAACCCCAAACATTGATTTTTAAATCGAGTAAAACTCCAGGACAGCTAACAGCATGCCTGACTGTCATAACACTGCTCTAAGACTTCTACAGAGGCCCCCAACACCTGGCTCAATACAGACTCTCCATCTGCAGGCAGGTCTTGTCCCCTCCGCAGAGCTTTGGTCACTCTGCCCAGGTGCCATGCAGATCTGCCTCCTTTCAGCTTTAGGACCGTCCAGCGCATTTAAATATCCTCACAATGAGATTAGGGTACAGGTTTTTTCCTTGTGTCAGCAGTAATTCAGAAATATCCATACTCACAGCTCGTTTTAGAGTGTGCCAATGTTCATACACACATTTGCCCTTTGCACCAAAATGCCCCAGGGATGACAGACCTGCTTTGTGGGAGTAAATCCAGGCACACGTGTAAGTACAGAGACAAAGCTGTTTTATTTGCTGATCTCCAGTGCTCTGCACTACACTTCTACATCTAGTTTCCTCCAGCAGGATTAAAAGCCATCCAATTACAATATGGTGGACTTAACAGGATGGGTCAGTATCATGCACTGTAGGAAAGTATTACGCATATAAGCAGAACATATTTAGGCAATTCACTGAACTGGACAATAGGTCAAGAATGTATTTAGGTGAAGTCAAGTTTGCCATTTTCCCCCCCTCTCTTGGTTGTTTTTTTTCCCCCACATCAGATACCGGCAAAAAAAACACCAACCTCCCCCATCCCTCTTCAGAAATGAACTTTTCTTAGATCATTTCTGATCACTTTTTTTTTTTTTTGCAGCTAAGCAGAACCACAAGGCAGAAGGAAAAAAGGAAGAAAAAAAAAGAACCTGTTAAAAATGATGCAATTGGCTTTTTCCCTTCCCCCAAACTGTGAAGATTAAAATAGTGATTGCTTCCATCAAACGCCTTAGATCACAGCTTTCACTAAACAGACTATTCAAGCCACATTTCCATTGTTCTCATCATCACTTATATAACAGTGACCGATTTTATCATTATTCTTTGTATGCATTCCCCTTAGTGCTCTAGGGTAGGAAAGGGTTCCCCCCCCCCGCATTCCTAACCAGCAACAGATAAATAACTTTAGCTCAGTGTCTAAGACAACGTCTTTTCTCAAAGGAGCCTTTTCCATCTGGACAGCAATACTACAAAAAACACATTGTTGTGGCATGTGCCAGCCAATGAATTCTGTCACTGGGGGGTCTTCATTTATTTACATTGGGTCATCTGGTTAACATTGTCTTTAGAAGACAAAGAGTTTGAATATTATAAAGAGCTCTTACAATATGAAGGGCAACTGTAATGAATTGCTAAGGTAAAGCATGTTACCAACTCAGAAACCCTTATAAAAGGAGGAGAACATATATCTGCTTCTCTGCTTCAGCTCATATTTCATGTTAATGGTTTGGCTTCCTTGTTGTGATTATGACATACTGCTTCTTGCATTTATCTTCTCTAACCTAAAACCTGCTTGTAAAAATACTATACGTACTGCAGATGTGTTCCTTTGGGGGCTTGCAAAAAAAAAAAAAAAGACAGCATTGATAGCTAATTGTGAAATTCTTAGGGCATTTAAAACTGTCCTGTTTCACTGCATTCATCTTTCTAGAAACAGACATCTAAATAATATGGAAGAGGAAATACAGCAGTATGCCATTTACTCCAAAAACATCCTTTGTTTTAAAAAAATGCCCTGTACCAGAAAAAGGATCAATCCGCCAAACTGAACAGGACTGAGCACCAGTAGTGGATGAGTTGGCACCTGGGGACGGCACTGGCCATTTCCCAAACCCTGTCTCCATTTTCTCAGTAGTAACACTGAGGTTGCAATACTTCCTCTGCCATGACCTGGCCAAAGTAATTTAATTAACACTCAGAAAATGTTCAGATACTACTAGACAATGACATAACACAAAACAAATACAAAATGTTGCTTAAAAAAAAGAAATATGTTTTCCTTCTCTATGCTTCAAATTTAGTTTCTCCTTTTTATGTAAAGATAAAACTGCTTGTGAAATTTTCAAAGTTACCTCAGTGTCTTTTCCAAAAACACTTCCGTTACCCAGGCTCTTTTGAATGGCATCGGTTTTGGCTGCACAGTCATTTGGCATATGTAGCCTAAACTCTTCATAGCAAATAGGATTCAACAGAACAGAGCACCTTTCTACACCGGATGAATCTAGGAGACCAGGGTATTCCTGGCTCCACCAAAAACATTTATATCACCTGAGGAGGACAATATAGTTCTTTTTTGTCCTTAGTTTCATAATATAAATAGGACAGATAAAAAGGTAAAAATACTGATCTCCTTTGTAAAGAGATCACTGATGATAATAATATATACGTTATTATCAGAAAGTAACTTTTTTCTTTTATCTTTACCATGCATGGCCAGAAAGTTTTCTTGCATGATCAACCTTTGTAAGCAACGAAGTTGACTGCAAAGTGGGTATACGTTGAAGGATGTGGGTATAGATCCTCAGCATGTTCTGTAGCAGGGATATGCACAGAGTGGGAAATTCTGCCCTCACCAAAATCAGTAAGACTAGCATCATCGAATTAACAGGATCAGAAATTCGGCTCTAACCTTTACAGTGCAGCTCAATGGAGGTTTAAGTTCTTTAAAAAAAAAAAATCATCAAACCTCTAATCTTAAATACCCTTTGAAATTTGAAGTGTCTCCTGAGCTGTTGCTTCTGAACAAGAAAACTACTGTAGCAGTAACATGAGAAGACAGAAGGAAAAGGAACAAGGAAAGAGAAAGAAGAAAAACGGTAGTTTCCAGACCCAGCTCCATCTAGGCTAGCTTATCTTCTCTCTTCTGGGAGAAACTCCTACTGACATAACTGAAGTGCGGGACAATACAATGAAAATGAGCTCAAGATCTGGAAAGTAGCTCCAATTGTAGTCTAAAAACCATGGTTCGTTCTTATTTAAATGTTTAAATGTGAGCTAAGAGAACTGCCCATCTCCAAAGGCCACCTCTGAGTGGAGTCAGTGCTCAGCATTGTGTGAGGATAACACAAGCTGCTTTACAGCGACTTCTCTGAACCTTTTTTTTTTTCCTTTAACTAGCAAAATAATTAGTTAGTAATTCTGATTTTAGAGGAGAAAAATTTAGGACATTTCCATCAAAACGTATCTCCTTAACTGAATAACTTCCCAGACTCTATAGTTAAAGTTTAAATAACTGTTAATGACTCTGAAGCAATCAGAAATGTTTTGCCAAGGGGAAATCAACAGTATATTAAGATAGTACAGCTTTTAGCTGAATGCTAAAGGCAGCTTTTAAAGAGCATATGTTTACAAACTAAAGAAGTTAGATACATTTGATCATTCTGAAAATTATACTGACACCTTTAATGCCATTTTTCTTCTGTCTGTGTAGGAGCAATGTTTCCTTTACATTACATATGTATCAATGGGTAAGGTGAGCTTCTTTTACCAATTTTATACAAAATACTGATGCTCCCCTCTGAAATAAACTCTTATGACAAATAATCTTTTTATAATATCATGCATACTACGTGCTGCAATCCCAGGGTTTTTTAGATATACACATATATACACACACACATTTGGGGGGGGCAGTGGTGATACATTTTGATTAGTCATAATGGAAAACTTTTTTATATTTTTCAGCGATGTAAATAATTCGCCTTCTTCCCGTGTCTTTCCACTTCCTCCCAAACTGCAGTGTCCTGTACAGAAACGATACTGTGTCTAACAAATGACCTCCTCATCTGACTTATCTCATAGGGGTACAAATGTACCCACCTATCGTCCTGAAATTCCCCCCAAAATCCTGTATCTTGGGTCCAGAAAAAAGAAGGAATTTGGGCACAATTCTGTGCCACTGATTCCCTGACATTTTTATCAGGAGCATCAACCAGCCAGGCATTAGACTTTAAATCAGTGAAACATCCATTTACAGCGGTTAGAGCAATATGATACACTGCACTTGGCTAACAAGTGAAGAAACTGGAAACACATTACCTAAAACAGCAAATGCAAGCCTAAACTGGCTTTCAGAGAAGGTCCCAGATTGCTGGATATGCTTCCATCCAGAAACAGTCTCAAGTATATAGTATTTTTTTAATTTAGAACCGTATCCTTCATGATATGCAAGGCACAAATGTCCATCGAATTCAGTGTATATTTTGGGCATGAGGGATGAAGGTTTCATTAGCAGTTCATGTAAAAATCATTTTTAATTGATATTCAATTTGATGGCACTGGAGTTCAACGCTGATGGCAAAACCTAAAGCACAGGTCTCATCCAAAATCCTTTGGAATCAATGTTATTCTTAAAACTAACTTCAGTGAAGCCAGGATTTCTGCCTAAATGTTTTTTTAAATAAAATGCATAGGTTATTTCTAGATCATTCTGATTACCTCTAGGATTCTTCCAGCCTAAATTATGGCAGTTTGCCTGCCTCGCAGGACAGTTTCTGTGAATCCCAAAAGCTTACACTTTGCATATAATAAGTACATCCAATAAAAAAATAGCATGAAGTGACTTCCAAAATCCAAAGGTCAAAAATTCAGCTAACATATATTAATCTTTATTATGTAACAATGATATAATAAATAAGTTTATGAATTCATATGACCTGTACAAAAAGCCGAAAAGATATTGCACCAAGTTAGGTACCAGCTATTTGGATTTAATATTTGTTAAACATATGATCTAAAATTATATACAGCTCTGGAGTTAAGGCAAAACCAGATGATACCTTTAACACAACAGAAGGTTTGAAAAATAGACATAATTACAAACAAGGGGATCTCATCTCCAACTAATAAAGTGGTTGTGTCTAAGGAAGGCATCCCTTAGGTTTTTAATAAAGCAGTTATTATCAATCATGTTAATTAAAATTGAAGAACAAGTGTGAGATTTCCTGCAGGGCAAAGCTGTTTTGTAAAGTTGTGCCTGAATGATCACCTTTAACCCTGGTAAGAATATTTTTCTTAATGGTTATAATCTGCTCTTCTCTTTAGAAAACAGCACATGGAAAAGAGGAATACCTTACATATCCAACTAAAACACAGCCATAACCGCTTAGCTTTATGTAAGCTAGACTTGATTGTGACCGGTGACAGAGCATAAATACATGGGTGAACCATCCAACACACTACACGCAGAGGAGAACTAAAGTCAGCTACTTATCAATAATAATTACCTTTCTCAAGACAATGGAATAGATCATGTCAGTTAGGTCCCAATGACAAAAACATGTATGACCAATATATCAATATACAGTTCTTTGGCAGCAACACACTAACTCTTGATTGAAGTCTGAACTCAAACTCTCCTAAATTATAGACCTGGTTGCCAGTCTTTTCATAATTAAAGAAAATCCGCTTCTCCCATGAATCCAGTAAGTCCAGTAAATGAAATCTGAATAAATCTTGCAGGCAGCTTTAGACTGTAACATTAAGCATAGATATTTATTGTCTGCTTTAGTCTCAATCCAAATATATTGTATTTAAACACACAAAATTCTGTGAAACTTCTGAGTAGTTCAGATGGGGCCAAAATCCATAAAGAGAATCCATATTCACCCATGAAAAACCAATAAAGAAACATCAATCCCATGATGATAAAATGATCTTCATGTAACAGAGGCAATGATGAGTCCACACCTGGATGAATGTCACAGGAAAATTGACTTTACAGGGGAAAGACCAGAAAGCCAGAAAACGTAGAATACTGCCATCCGCCGACCAGATTACCTTTCTCCAATTTCAGGTAAACCTTATCCTCCTTGTCTAGATAGAGCAGGACTCCATTAGTGGCAGCTTCACGTGTGACGTCCTTGTCCCCGGCAAAAGCAGAAATGACTGGCTTTCCATTTAGCATCAAATTAACCTACAAGAGAAAAACCACTGAAAAGCTCCAATTAACAGAAAAACATCAAGAACTGTCACTGAATATTAACTACAGTGTAAGAGGTCTGCTAAGGTCCCGATCTTCACTGCTTTTTTTGTTGTTGTTGTTTTAAACTAATAATTACATTTATTTGGAGTGTACAAGCACTTTTGTGTTTCATGGGCTTGACCCGCCGCTGAGTGAAGTCGGTGGGACACTGTCCACTGACTGCCACGGCCCGGGCTCAGTCGGTGTGAAAGGTAACGCGACATTGCTTTCATCTGTTGCTCGGGCACATTAATTGTTGCAACTCTCTGGTAATACGGATCTGTGAGCTGTTACCTCAGTTTGTTTCTCTTCGCCTACCTCACAGGTTATTTAGACACGCGCTAGCAAAGAAGACATTTTCAAGAAACTTAGGCACCCAGAGATGCAATATAGGCACCTAATGAGATGTCAAAGGTACCGCAGCAGGCTAGGAGCTTACACGTCATTGAGAGCAAAATATATGTCCTTCCATTATTGACGGCAGCTTAGTTTTGAAGTCTAGAACAGACGTTTAGCTTTATGAACCACTGCACTGTGTTTTGGTACTGAATCCATTTTCTCTATGAAACACTTCTGAAAGTCAGCACAGGCTCTGCTCCAAAAGCAACACCACACGGACACTCTGTAAATAAAGATGGGCAGGGGCTGGGGGAACGGGCAGAGCCAGGCATTTTTCATTTCCCCAATGGCAAACTATTAGCTTTCTTTTTCTTTTTAAACAGCTATAATACAGTCACAGAGGGGTAAATTATGAAATGCTTATTCATATCGAGTATGCTGGCCTTGCACATGCTCCCATTAATTTTAATGGGAGTCACCGTGGAATAAATTAGTGCTCAGCATAAGTCAGGGCAGCAGAATCCAGCCCTGATTTGGGATTCGCCTATCTGGGAAATCCACTTAATCAGATGTCCCCAGGGAACCAATTTCAGTTTAATGATATTTAACGGCACTAACAGATGTTCCAGGGGCATAGTAATATCACTTATGTAGGAAGCCTTCAGGTGATTTAGTGGTGTTTAAGTCTGCATGCAGCTGAGACTAAAGCTGGTTTGCTCCACTGCAATGGCTTTCGGTCCTCCCCCTTAGTTATCACACATGCAAAAAAAGGGCATCAAGAGTTTACCCATTGCGTGGTTTTGGTTTATCTCATTCCTTCTGTACCATCTCTCTAGGTCAGGTTCCCCTGCAGATCATCTTACAGTTATTTTAATCACAGCAGAAGGCACATCACAGGTTTGCCTCGGATGGTCTCACATTAACTATGCCAAAATGGAGCCCACCAAACCCATCCATCACTTCAGAAGCTCTTGAGCTATGAAAGATTTCAGGTCATGTGGCAGGTTGTAACATTCCCTGTTACAAGCCCCCGACTCCCAGGTTTGAGTACCTGGTATGTGAGACACCAAAGTCTGCACTGGGCTTCCAGAATCCAAACCTGGACATCTTTCTTGGCAATATGTCTTTTAAATACAATGAAGCTGGCTGACATACAGTCATTCTAGGCCATTTCAACCTTCAGCTTTTGAGAGTGAAAAGAACAAAGTTTGAGGATATTAAATAGCTTATAAGCTCATTAGGAGATTTTCATTAGGTCAATATTTCGTCTAAGACTTTTGTCATTGACCCGAGTGGAACCATGATTTCCTGTTGTAAACTGAAGGCGAATTTCACCAGGTATGTGAATGTGTCTTGCACCAGCTTCCTCTGCCATCTCTACCATTTACACTTACACTTTTCGCAGGAGCTTTACTGGCAACCCAAAGCCAGAGCTACCACAAAGAAATGGCTGAACAGTCCTGCAGAAATCTATTTCTTTCATCTCAGCCTTGCACGCTGAAAACCATATTCAGGAGCAAGACAGATGAATAGAAAAGCATCAAATACTTGTGTGAATCTAGTGGTCTCATGGGTGGAAACAAGGGAAGCCATAGATGTTATTCCAGATCTAGAAAACCAGTATTTATGTCACAGAAATTGCATGACCTGACATGAAGATTAAGGAATGTACTTTAAGGAATTTACTGTTGGCTCAGCGAGGGGATGTTCAGGAACTTAGAGGCTTTTCCTTTAAGCTAGTACTTACTTATATTTAATTGAGTAGTTCAGCTGCTATTATGCTTCAGAAGAAAGTGCAGAATCACTCCTTTTTTTTTTTTAATATATGACACATCTTTTATGTATTATATGGTGAAAAAAAGTTTAAACTGCTATAAAGGTTCCCTAGAAGACATCCCTCTAGAGGTATAACATTTCAGTGTAGTACAGAACAAGTAGACCACCTTAACTAACCTTGGTCCGCAGCAGACTGGTGTCATAAACAGATACCTGGCATCAGGAGCTGTCAGCCAGGTCACAAAATGTTACAAAAATAATCAAATCTGGTACGTATCCCCAGAACTCCTGTGTTCAAGGCAGTGAGTTTAACCTGTAGCAAAATATGACTCTTCAATAGTATTTATGCAATTAAGTGAAATTTAGAGCTCTGTTTTACTCTTGGATGATTCATTCTATTTAATACTTTATATCACTCCAGATATTTAGTTCTTATGGTATAGAAGTGAAGCTATGGCAATTTATCTGAGGTGAGGATCCTGCCTTATTACAGCTGTTCAGTTTAAATGTATTCACTCTACTGCTAGGAACTCTATGCCACAGGTTGCTTTAAATGAAGCTATTTTTCCTTCAAAGTGTGTTAAATACTCTTGTGTTCAGGCAAGATCCTATTTAAAATAAACAATTTAAGTAAAAGATTTTATAATCATACTTGATCAACATACCTGAATTGTTTGACTCTGATAGACTTTAATTACGTGAAAACTGAAACTGTAAATTCCTTTTCTTGGTGCTACAAAGACAGACTCCAACGTGAAAAAATTGCCCACGTTTACTAGGATCTACAAAAAAAAAAAAATACAGCATGGGAATTAGTACAGGTATTCTGTGCTAAATAAAAAAAATAGAGACTATTAACTTGAGAAAACATTCACCCATGGAAATTTTTAATCTACATCTATGCTGTTTTATTCATTGTTCTCTCAATTAAGTTGGGATACTACTCATAAAGTGGATATTTAGTTATATTTATAGTACAACTTTACTATAAATAAACTAGGGTGGAAAATATTTCTTACTTTGCTACTATATCATACCTTCAAGACCGTTCTTCTATACATGTTTAGAGGAGATTAAGAAAAGGCATTTTTGTTCATCATTCCCCAAAAAAGACATCAAAACACCAATTCAGGGAGTGGCATACTGCTTTTGGCTAAAAAGCAACGGTCAAGTCAACACCGTCTTCCTGAAAGTCTCAAGGTGTGAGGAAGGATGTACGTGAATGATGTAATTCATTCACCGGTTTAGAGGCAGAGTGAGTTACTGAAATACCTGGCATATCTGAGCAAAAACTGGCTGCGAGCCTTTGCTGCTTTATTTGTTTTTGTAAGCACTAATAATAATTTGGGTTTGATTAAACAGAGACAAGTAACAGAGGGGAATGTATTAAATGAATGCATCGTCCATATGCTAAATATCTGCTTTAAAGACTAAATTTTTCTTTCTTTCCACTTAGTTATGCGTAGTTTTTAATTGATATTTTCAGGCTTCTTTAAGCCAGGCACAGCCCTAGAAAGCCACCAGGAATGTCCATGAAGTTAGGGTAATTTACATTGCTAGCATTAAGCTACGTGACATATCTGGCTCCAGTTGTCACGACAATTTACTGTTCATTAAGATATGATATAGGAAGCAAAATAACTGTCAGCCTCAACTACCTTGGACTTGCCCTAGGACAGGAGCTGGTATATGAGACGTGTGCTGGCATCCGTACGTTAGTATCAGTGACTGAGATGAGAGGGGCTGTACTATGAACCTGTGATTGTTACAGAAAAGTTAAATGATTTTTCCTTAAAATTCGTTCTTCTTTCCCCTCTCAAAGGCTGCACAAGCCGCCTAAAAATCTACGTAGGCTGCTTGCACCTGAGAAAACCCTATCCCCAAGCCTCCCGGGCCATCTCCTCGCCCG